CGGGTATGATGATGGTTATGATGTCCTTTTATAAAGGCTGACTGTGTCTCGTCTATTATTTGAGTTATTCCTGTTTTTAATCTGTTGGCATAAATATGAGCTAACTTGCATGAGCTAGTCCTTGTTTGGTTTAGGAAGTAAAGAAATTATTCCTCGTTTCATAGTTGGAGAAAGCATCGGATCATTTATACATTCATTAAATACCTCTAGTAATAAATCTTTAATGTCACAATGTCTGTAAAATTCAATTGTGATTCTGTCGGGACCTGTTGATTTACCACTCGCCATTTGGGAAACAGCAGCATCCAATTCAGCCAAAGTGATTTCAGACTCATTGAGAATTTTAAAGTACGTATCAATTTGAGGATTTTTCCCGGATAGAACTAAAAAAAGAATTGGTTTCTGAACTGGAATAATTTGTAGTGTAGAGGGCTGAATAGAAATATTAATATAATTGTTTATTAATATAGTTTTTGATAGTCTGTTGGTCCAACAACAACAACGACAATCCATTTAGCCCTTGAACTAATGAAGGCACATTTTGCTTTGTCTATATAAAGTTCATCTGTACTACATCTGGTTTAGTTCTGTAGAGTTTTCCTCTGTCAGACATGATAAATGGCCTGTATTTATATAGCGCTTTACTAGTCCCTAAGGACCCCAAAGCACTTTACACATCCTGTCATCCACACACTGGTGATGGCAGCTACATTGTAGCCACAGCCGCCCTGGGGCGCACTGACAGAGGTGAGGCTGCCGGACACTGGCGCCACCGGGCCCTCTGACCACCACCAGTAGGCAACGGGTGAAGTGTTTTGCCCAAGGACACAACGACCGAGACTGTCCAAGCCGGGGCTCGAACTGGCAACCTTCCGATTACAAGGCGAACTCCCAATGCTTGAGCCACAATCGCCCATAAGACCTGCAGTTCAAAATAGCACCCCTCTGACAGAAAACCCATCTGTTCTCTGATTGGATTGTTAAATTTGTGATTGACATGACATTGACCAATCAGCTGAAAGGAAGAAAAATAGGGTCCAAATTCATACTTGTAACTTGAAACTAGAGTGCAGTTTCACACATATTTTTTGGCTAAGTCCACACACAAATCTTTTTACACATACAAAACTGATTTACAAGTACAAAATATTTATGACCACAATTTGAGCCCATAAGTTCTTTTTGAATTTGATGGCACCAACACAAAACATTGAGGAGAGCCGTGTTCAGCATAGTGTAGGACCCACCCGTCTTTAACATCTGAGAACAGCCGTCGCCTGGTGTTTGATGATGTAGACAGTTTTTTGCAGCCTGGTGAACCTCTGCCAATCTTCCTCTCTGAGAAACTGTGTATGCTCAGTCATGTTACTGACAGAAACACTGTGGGGATGTGGTCCATTAGAAGCGAGAGCTGAAAGACAGCTGAAGACAGGCAAGCAAAAGAAACTATTTCCATGTTTTGCAGTTATATGGACGTTTCCTTGTTAAGAGAGTGTAACCAGGTTAGTTTTACAAATCTCACCTCAATGTGACAATCATAAGTTTGACAACTGTTTTGAAAATTGGAAGGCTGTGACTGTAGGTGTGGCTGCAGCTCAGGTGGCAGAGCAGGTTGTTAATCGCAGCAAACAAACAAGCATGTTCACAACAAGGTAAGACAAAGTATTTGTTTTTATTGACCTCTTTATAGGAGGTGGATCACTGCAGCAGCACAAGAAAGAAACACTTTCCTTTTGGTGTGTTATGATGAAGACTTGTTTAAGTGCTTTTAAATGATGCATGCATAAATCATCAGTTGAGACAAAAGACAGGCATGGCTTCCAGGCCTGGAAAGGTAAACGATACAGGAACATTATTTTAAGTGACTTCTGTTTGTGTCTGTGAGGAAATGAGCCTCCTTACTCTGTGACCTCACACAGCACAGTCCTGATGACGTTATGCTTTCAGTTGTCGGATCTTATCAAATATAACATGTAAACTTTGTAAATGATGGTGATAACTAAAGTTAGAACTGCTGCAGGGGTGATCCGGAGGATGTTCAGTGACCAACAGTCTGTGATGGACAATTAGACAACGCTGATGATCCTTCCCTCACTCATCAGGCCACAACACCAACTTGGTGGAAAAAACCTTTCAGCTCGAGTTTTCACAAAAGGATATTTATAGGTCATATTAGAGTGGTCACACAAATCCAAGGGAATGCTTGTACATGTTAGAGGAGCTGGTCAGACGCTGCTAATGGACAGCTGAGGTTGGAGGTCTGGTTCAGCTTCAGTATGACGTCAGTGTCGGGGATCCTGCTGCTCCATGCAGGGATGAAAACACACAGAAAAGGAGACACTGTGACTGCTATTAAAGCCTGCCCCCCACTTCGAGCTGCGTAGCTGTTGATATATGGGCTACACCGATTTGTGCTTGTTGCCAAAATAAAAAAAAAAGAATAATCATTATCATAATCAATAATGATTTAAAGCTTCAGTATGTGGAAGAAGAAACACTCAAATCATGTGTTTGTGTGGAGAGAGCAACACAGAGACTCTTCATTAAACATCAGACAGTTGTGTATTGTGTGTTGGATCTTGTGTTTCCATTCGATTGTTGCTGTGTGTTACCAATACGTTGATCCACTGAGACTCAGTGTAGATGTACAGAGCCTTTTTGTCCGTGCGAAGCACCATCACATTCTCCACGCGCAGCCTTCTCATCGCTTTCTCTCCATCCGCAACAAACACCTGCAGAGTGACACATGAGCTTGCTGAGGTCAAAAGGATTTGTTTCCACAACGGTACAAAGTCCAGGTCTCCAGCTGTTTTCCTCGTCATGACAACTGCACATAAGGTGAAAACATTTATAGCTCCTGTGTTTGGACCAAGGATTACTGCCGCTTTGATTGACAGCTGTCACAACACGAGCAGTCATGCAAGAATTGCTTTGTTTATAAATTAGAAATTCGATTACAGCCTAACTGAACATGTAACTGAACAAGCACATGAACCTCATGGCATGCAGAACTATTCTGTGACTTGTTTAAAGCTTACTGGTGGCAGTGGTTTCAAAATGAGGAATCCAGAGCTGCTGGGTCATCATAGCTAGAATCATGGTCTATGGTAAGCTAGCATGTGTGAATTCTGGTCCATTTGTCTGTGTTGCTGTGGGTGTGCTGCTCCACACTCTTTCAGATCCAATAAAACAAAAGTCTTGCTTTAAAAAACGCACTGGGATGAGATGGCGTAAAGATTACTCCCCAGCAGAGTAAACAGTTTAACCAGAGTGTGACACTGACCGTGTGCACGCTGTCCACCAATCGTTGTGGGCTCTGAACCTGTGAACAGTTGCATGTGGCTGGAGGACCTGGGTTTCCTGTTTCTCCCTCCATGCCTGGTAGGATATACACTAAGAAAACACAAGGCATAATCAGCTTTCTGCCAACAAGTTTATATTTGAAGTTGTTTCAACAAGGCCATCAGGTCACAGCTTTATCCTTTCTGGGTATGTATGACTGCTCCATGCTTGCGTCGTTGGCCTGAACGACATTGCCCTATTACATAATGTGTAAGTAAGTAAAACTTTATTTATATAGCACCTTTCTAGATAAAAGATCAAAAAGTGCTTGACACAAGGATGACAAAGTAAAAAACAGAAACAGACAAAATGCAGTTCTAAAAAGAAACTACCGAGTCCACACATCTTACACTCAGTGGGAGAGAGTTCCACAGTCTGGGAGCCACAGGGGCCAAAGCTCTGTCTCCCTCAGTTTTCAGCCTTGTAGGCTGAATAACAAGTAGGCCCTGATCACATGACCTCAGGGAGCTGCTGGGCGCACAGGGCTGCAGACGTTTAATGATGTAAGCTGGTGCTTGTCCATGAAGAGCTCTAAAGGTCAGAACCAGAATCTTGAAATGGACTCAATGGGGAGCCAGTGCAGCTGTATCAGCAGCGGTGTCAGGGTGTGTGAATACTTCGATGGTTCGCCTTGCTGCAGTGTTTTGGATAAACTGCAGACGCTCCAGGAAGTTTTTGTTTAAACATGTAAACAGTGATGAAATGAAGTGTGAACTAAAGTGTGGTTTTATACCGATTATTACGCTGCATGAAAGGATTATTACAGGTTATATAAACCTGCAGCATTAAATGGTTCTTGTGGCTTTAGTGGTTGTGCAAACATCTGGAAAAAACAATGTCACACAATAAGGCGTGATCAAAGAAACAAAAAGCAATTACATACATTTTTATACCGTGTAGAGATGTAGATGGGAGTATTCTCTGTAACATAAATCATTACATTACAGAACATAGTTTCTTTAGCAGTTTCATGCCTCCCTGATGCCGTCACTGTCTAAAAAGAATTTCCTAACCTCAATCAGACTTCTCTGGTGAAATGAAATTTAAATACAACTTTATAAATCTTCATCTTCTGTACCAATATCATGACTATATATTTACATGCACTATAAAGTAGATCAAAACTGATACACGTGTTGTCACAAACCTTGTCCAGGAAGTCCAACTTCTCCAGTCTGACCATGACGCCCTGCATGACCAAGATGACCTTGAAACCCTTTGAGCCCTCGAGATCCCTTCGGCCCCTGCACACAGTGATCACTCCATTCATTTGGTTTGCATGCAGCAGACAAACTGAGGTACAAACTTCTTACATTCAGCTAAAGGTAACATCCCACCAAGCAGCAAATGTCTGTGGATAGTGTGAGGTAAGAAGTTTCACATCAACAAAATGATATTTAGAAAACAGGTGCCTTTTTAAATATATGAATCTGCTAAGCAGTTTTTCAGATCTAGAATTCATATAAACAGTAGGTGTGTGTGTCAAAGGATGAAGTCGGTACAAAACTTCACAGTTAGTAGACGTTTAGTAGACGCCTTCCTCACAGCTAGCGTTTGTTTCAACAGGCAGCTCTTTAAACAAAAAGGCATGAATGCAATGGGAACAATATCACACACACACACACGCACACACACACATACACACACACACACACACACACACACACACACACACACACACACTTGTGTGTCATACTTCCGACTCTAGCACTGCCAACCCCTTGCAGGGTTTCCCACCATGCACACACTCTGTGTTTTATTCTTCATGCCTACCGTGCTCCCCCTGTCCCCAGGCTTTCCTCTGGATCCCTCCTCCCCCCTTTTCCCTGCAGCGCCCCATTGGCCTGGGTCTCCCTGCACCAGCACAACAGAATGGCCTTAACATACTGCACAGCCAGAGATGTTCACTGAATGTGTCTCAGCCAGTTCTTCACCTTCTGTCCTGGGTTTCCAGGGATGCCACGCTCCCCCTGCAGAGACGCACAGATTCATCAGCCAACGCAGTCACATAATGTCTAACAGGAACAAATGCAGGAGCAATGTTTGTTCTTCTTTTGATTTCTTCACCTTCACTCCCTCCAGGCCTGTTTTTCCTTTGACACCTTTATCACCCTGAACAATAAAAATAGCAAGTGTCATCGGAACATATGTATAAATGTATAACAGTAAAAAAAGAAAAAACACTTACACTGAATCCCCTTTGCCCCTTATTGCCCTACATAAACACACAAAGGAGCTTAGTATCAGTAGCATTAAAACAAAATACAAATGGGAAACTGCTGTTTGGTTTCCAGACAGGAGTCGGGATGAGTGTGAATAACATATATGTCTGCATGTGGGCAGGACGAACTCATCTATTCAGCACAGTCTTTAATGTAGTCAGGTAGTATATACTATGGCTACTGGCCTTTAATGTACCTTCATCATCCCAGGAGTTCCTATATCTCCATACAGGCCCCTCCAGCCTCTGTCTCCCTTCTCTCCCTGTGGAAACATTGACTCATATCAGCTCATATTTTCACTGTGTAAACATTTAGATTTATACATTATTTCAATAAATGGAACATTGATGATGTCTATCACATCTAATATTCTTAAAACCTATAACAATGGTAAAAGGAAACTAAATACTGATGACATCTGGCTTTGGATGGAAAGGCGACTGATACACCTGAGAAATGTAGTTAGTGATATGTTTTCTATGCTCGGTGTTTCCTGTAAAAACATGAAACTTTGCCCCTTTTTAAAGGATGACTGTGGCGGGGGCGTGGTTTGCTGGCCTGCTGCAGAGGAGGGGTGACACAGTGAACTCTGGGCGGCACGGAGGCAACAGGTGTACGGGACAGTGTTAATGAGGGAGATGTCTTTTTGTGTGCCCACAGTGAGATGGAGCAGATGATGCTGGGAGGGAGTCGCTCCGTCCGAGGCGGGTGCCAAAGATTATTTCCAAAATAAAAAGACACTAAGCATAACCCGTGTGTGTGTGGGTCCTGTGTCACAATGACCTAAACTGTATAAGATGAATCTTTTATACTTATTGAAAGACCTTGGTGTGCACAAGAAATAACAGGTAGCACAAGCATTACAACCGGGATTAATAACAAAATCAACCCTGGCAGCCAGCAGCAAACCAAGAACAAATGCCCCCACCCTGTATGTCCGTAAATGAAGCTTTTTATTTTCATCAGGGACGTCGGGCTAAAGAAAAAAACCCTGAAGTGCCTCAGTGTCACGTGCAGGGTGCAGTGGGAATTGTATTGGGGCAATTGTCATTGTCAGTCCATCTGCGCTGTAACTGCAATAATTTAATCAACCGATTCACACTACAACCTGCTTTGCCTCTTATCTGTAGTTATTTTTATTTAATTTAATGACTGTACAGTACTCTGCTTATAGTAACCATTGTCCATATGTAAATATGTAAGTAGCAGCCTCGCCTCTGTCAGTGCGCCCCAGGGTGGCTGTGGCTACAATGTAGCTGCCATCACCAGTGTGTGACTGGTTGTGTAAAGCGCTTTGGGGTCCTTAGGAACTAGTAAAGCGCTTTACAAATACAGGCTGTTTACCGTTTATTAGTCATAGCTTTACAAATACAGGATATGACTTTATTATTGCATAAATGCACACCTCAGAGTTCTTAGTCACACAGTCGCATTACTGAAAACATGAACTTTGTGTTACACAAAGAGTTTCTTTTTCATTTTTTCACCATTGTTTCAGTTCTCTGCAATTCTCTATTTTACATGTTAGGTCTCTTTATCCTTTACTTTTACACTCCTGACATTTTAGTTCAGTTTTCGTTACAGCGCCAAATCACAACTACAGTCACCTCAAGACGTTTTATATTGACCCTACAATAACACACACAGAGAAAACCCAGCAATCATATGACCCCCTATGAGCAGCACTTTGGGAAGGAAAAACTCCCTTTTAACAGGAAGAAACCGGAACTTCTTCTTTTCTCCTCATTTTAGTTCTTTTTAGTTCTTAAATTAAATAGTAATTTCTGTTTTTATTTGATCAGAGCAAGTCTTTCCTTGTTACCCCCCAGATGACCATGTAGTCAGTGTTGTGGTATATGTCTGTATGGACGGACTTTGTATAACCTTTTGACCTGGCTGTCCCATGGCTCCTTGCATTCCACCTTCTCCCTCTGGACCTAACACACCAAGCTGACCCTGAAATACACTCACAGTTAGCTTTTGCTTTTATGACGTCTTACGCAATATGTATGTGCCTGAAAAGATGGGATAACTGTCTTACACTGTACCTTCGATCCTCTGGCTCCCCTACAGCCCTGCAACAGTAACAGTACCATTACTGTAACAGTACATATGGCGGGGAGGGGGGGGGGGGATTAAATATGTAAAAAGATGGTCCTGCATACTTTTTCTCCTTTAGGTCCTGTGATGTGTTCTGTTATGTCAACCTGGAGAGTTACGGAGAAATGAAAAAAAATGAGTTGTTTTACATCATGCTTCAATTCTCACACCTTTTCTTTCTTTGAATGAATCAATGTGGGTGCTACAGGTTGAGCTAAAGGAACATTTATTCCTGAAGAAAATCTTGAAGGAATAATTTTAAAACAAAGCTAATTTGTGGGTAACAGAGAGGAGGGAGATCATCACCATTAGCTCTGCTTTCCATTTGATTGGAGGAAACATAGGTGGTGGAAGAGGAGGAGTGATGAAGACTTCACATTTTGAAACTGACCACCTGCTGCCTCTGCTTGATGGGAATCCTGCACAGGCAGAGAGCACAAAAATCATGTTAATTACTGTGTTCCCTGTGCATTCTGGGAAAGGAGGGCACTGAGATCAATCAGATCTATAATCATGACATAGTGACGGTTGTAGGCAGTATGTGAAGTGAAAAACACTTTCTAAAACAAATCACATCTTGTGTTTTGATTTTACGTACCATCCATGACATCATCCAGACATCCAGAGTGATCCTATGATCAAGGCTCTGTGGCTCAGACATTAAATATTGAGGGGCATTGATTCTTGATTTGTATATTTCACTGTCTGACTTGTCTGCACAGCAGTCATGCTGCTGCATGTGCAGTCACCAACCACCTTTCCACTCTTTATTCTCTTCACAGCGGCCCACACTTCCTCCTTGCTAATGCCCTGCACAAGTGTGGGCCGCTATGAAGAGAATGAAGAGTGGAAATGTGGCTGGCAGATTTCTAGGAGAGAGGTTAGCAGACCTTTTAGAGGCTGTTTAACCAGACTGTTCACCACAGTCCTCATGCCCGAGGAATGGAAAAGAAATGTACTGGTACCCATCCCAAAACGTTGATTCTTTTCATGTGGACATCTTCAGTGAGAGAAACACGGCACTCATCCAAGAGACGTCTTCAGTCTCAGCTGACTGCAGGTTTCAATCTTATAAACAGTACATTTTCATAATGACTTAAACCAGCACTACTGAATGAACAATGGGCTGGGAGGTCAATTCGTTGATTATTAAAATGTAATGTCAGTCAGCTGAGACTGAAGGAAACATTTGTCCCACTGGAAACGCTGCATCCAGATGAACAGAATCAACTTTTGGGGTTTACTTACCTGGATGACTGAGCATGCATCAAGACACTGGTACTGATGTTCAAGCGCAAGGGTGATATGCAGAGCTCTAGTAACTACACAGGGATAATGACCCATACTATGAAGATAAAGTAAAGTGTTGTGGAAGCTAGGCTGAGAAGAGAGGTGACAATCAGTGAGCAGCAGTGTGGCTCCCTATCAAGAAAGAGCTCTATGTGATGTTTGCTTTGAGAGTGTTGATGGAGAAGAATGGAGAAGGTCAGAAAGTCTTTGTGGCTCTCAAGAACACAGATAATAGAGTGCCAAGAGAGGAACTGAGGTGCTGCATGAGGAACTCAGAGTGTGTGAGACACACACAGGACACAAGACAGGACATGTACAAGGCCAGCGAGATAGTGGTGAGGTATACGGTAGGAGTTACAGATAAATTCAAGGTAGGGGTGGGATTATATCAGGGATCAGCTCTGAGCCCCTTCTTGTTTGGGGACAGGCTGACAGATGAGGTCATGCAGGAGTCTCTGTGGATGTGATGACACTGTGATCTGTAGTGAGAGTTGGCAGAAGGTGGAAGAGACCCTGGAGATGTGGAGGTATGCAGTGGAGAGGAATGAAAGTCAGTAGAAGCGAGGCAGAATACATATGTGTGAATTAGGGATGGACCGATCCGGTATTCCGTATCGGTCTGATATTGTCCTAAATTACTGGATCGGATATCAGAGAGAAATAAAAAATGTAATCTGATCCATTAAATATCATGAAAGCACCTCGCAAAACTTGCCGCATGGCGTAACCCACATCTGAGCAGTATGCATCACGTGATAGAGCGGCTGTGGTGTGCGAGACCTGTCGGCGGTCGGGTTGAGCATTTGGAGCCTGCATTTCATCTTGGAGAAAGCTATCCCAGAGAGAAGTAAAGCAAGTGTGTAAGTTCATCTCTGAATGTTTGTAAAGCATTCCAGCGTTAAGCTTAACAACCGATATATGCAGCGACTGCCTCTTCTCTCTCCTGCTGCTACTTCATTCATAAAACTGATCAATGATCATCTGATCGGCTCTTCTGTCGCGACTCCGTCTCTCTTGTTTGTTTTTGGCTCACTTTACACCAGAAAGAGGAAACCAGCAGATAAACAATTAAAAAATACACTATATCGGCTTCATATTGGTATCGGCAGATATCTAAATTTATGATATCGGTATCGGACATAAAAAAGCGGTATCGTGCCATCTCTAGTGTGAACGAGAGGGAGACAGGTGGAAAGGTGAACATGGAAGGAAGAGAGGTAATAAGGATAGATGAGTTTACATACCTGAAGTCAGCCATCTAAGGCAATAGTGCACAAGAGTGGTCAAGAAGAGAGAGCAGGTAGGGTGGAGTGGGTGGAGATGAGTGTCAGGGGCGATTTGTGACAGAACAATAGCAGCAAGAGTGAAAGGGGAGGTTTGCAGGATGTTAGTGAGACCTGCTATGATGTATCGTTTGGAGATGGTACAGAAGGCAGAGCATAAGATGTTAGGATTTTCAGAGTGAGCAGGATGGACAGGGTTAAATATGAGTGTGGTGGGGCGTGGTCTGCGGTGCCGTGCGGACGCACCTGCATGGCATCTGCAGATCACGGCCGCAGTGTTAAATCACGGAAAAGCAGGGTTATGAGTGGTCTTGTGGTGCGATGTGCGGCTGGCAGCTTGGGTGCTGCAGCCGGTGTAAATAAATGGCTCAAAATTAGAATTTGTGGTCCCGCCATGCCTTATTCACACCACAATGAGTTCATCACAACAGTTCTGCCTGAGCAGTTTGGAAACAAAGGGGCAAGGCTGAGATGGTTTGGACGTGTACAAAGTTGCACAGTGGATATATTCAATAAAGGACGTTCAAGATGGAGCTGCCAGGTAGGGGAAATGCTCATTAACAGACAGTTACTTCAGTATTTTTGGTTACTGTAATTGTCGGGCTATAAGCCGCTACTTTTTGCACAAGCTTTGAACCCTGCGGCTTTTAGTCAGGTGTGGCTTTTCTATGGATTGTCCATGAGCGGATTTGTTTTGTTTGTTCCGCTGTTGTACGGCACTACGTTGCCTGGCGGAAGGATCGGGCTTCAAGAGTGGTATGTTGGTCACATGTCCATCCGCCAGGCAACGTAGTGCCGTACGAAGTAGCGCGAAAAACAAACTTCAAAGTAGCGCTACGCGTTCAGCGGGAGGTGTGGATGACGAGCGGCGATAAATTTGCGAAAAGCAAGTTATGCTCAACTCCACCATTGGATTCTGACAGCGTGGAAAAGTGTGAAAACATCCACGATCACCAACGGATTTCGAAGGGCTGGACTGCTGCATGATGGCGAGGAGGACACCGCCACGGCCCTTCAGAGGGTGTTCGACTCTGACACTGACAACGAGGATTTCTTTGGTTTTGAAAGTGACAACGAAGGAGAGAAGCGGAGAGTGGATGACGAAGCCACCCTGAGCCTGTTCATATCCGACACTGGAGAAGAGGACTTTGGTGGTTTTAGTGCAGGAAGAAGAGAAAGATGGTGGTGAATGACTGACTTTTCTTCTTGTTAAAGCCGTGTCGCTGCACCTGAGCCTAAAAGGTAGGCCGGATCTATTTTTCTGGTGTGCTGTAGGTTATTGTTATGTACTACATTTGTTACTCATTTATGAAGCACAGTACATGTTTCGTACTTGTAATTACCGTTACTTGTACATATACCTAAAAAGTTATGCAAATATGTACCCATAACTTGTTTTTCAAAATATTAATAAAAGTGATGTCTCCAAACAGCCATCTCTTTCCTAACAATTCGCTTTGTGCATATTCTCTTACATATGAGTCAACATTGAAACACCTGCGGCTTTTAGTCAGGTGCGGCTAATGTATGTACAAAACAGGATTTTCCCCTGATTTTAGCTTGTGCGGCTAATATTCAGGTGCGCTCTGTAGTCCGGGAAATACGATAATTTCTCCAGCCCCAACTCAGCTCTCTCCTTCACCAGGCTCAACACAGAAGTGTTTTCAGCCTCTCTCCATGCACAGATATATCACGTTGACCTTCTTGGTCAACGTGATATATCTGTGTGGCCCCTCCCTTGTTTGACCACACCACCTAATATCCGCCACTTGTCGTGTGACCACGAAGGGCCCTTGCCATTTGAAGTATCAATCACATCTTAATGGTTTAATCTGAAACTCACTGAGGTGGGTGCTTTACCTTAGGAGGCAAGAAAGTGTTAGTGTTTATGGACTTAACTGTTATCCAGTGTTTGACTCACTTGTTGTAATAGAGGAAGCAGCCGACGGGAGGCTGCTTAGCAACGCAGTCCATCCTAGGATCAGCTGAGTCAGCATCTCAACACTTCCTGCAACCACAAATCATGAAGGAAAGTACTGTTTCAATCTGTGGTCATTTAAATATGGCTTCATGTATCTCCTTCCGAACCAACACCCACCCTCTTTTTCTATCAGGTGGGAAATCTGATGAGGAGACTAGCAGAAAGATCCATGAAACCATCAGTGATGACAGATATGTAATTAATAATTCAGACACAGCATGAAAGACGGGTTTCAGTGGGTTGCAAAGCTGCTTGGAGATCCACACCAACGTCTGGCAACGGATGTGTGTGGGCCCTGAGATCAGATATTTTAGGACAGATGGCGGAATATAATTTGTTTAAGTTGAGCTAATATGAGACAACAGTTTAAAGAGCAGAAGCCTCATTTATTATACTTCAGATCAAAACATTTAATCAAATGACTGTAGTTCAAGTCAGATCTGTCTTTAGACAGGTGCACATGTGTGTGGTCTGCATGTGTGTGCATGTGTATGTGTTGTGAGATTATTATATTATCTTATGCCACGTTAGACCCCTAATTAAAGATTGTGAAATCATTATGTAGTTTTAGTTTGCCTTATTCTCCTGACTTAGAAGAAGGTGAAACTATTACACTTATTGAACTGAGTTGTATTACATTAGACTGCTGATTTATTGTAAGTGAATGATATTGTTTATGATGCATTATACTGCTGAGGTATAAGAAATACTGTTTTCAGAGAGTCATCACCTTATTTGTCTGACTAGAAAAGAACAGAACATACTGCACAGGAAGCCGAGGTCATAACTTGGGCTCACTGAGAGAGAAAGAATGTGGATGTTTAGGTTTTGTGGCTAGGTGGAGGAGGGGCTGAAGCTATAAGAATGTGAGGAACGCTCAGACGCTTCAAGATCAGGCGGACACCCTCCCGCGCTCATCTCCCATCCGGATGGTTTATGCTCAAAAGTGTTGAATTGTATGGAATAAAAGATTGTTGATTGAGCATTTATACACCGAGTATTGTCCTTCCTTCAGCCCAACAATCAAAAGAATTGGGAGATTTAACAGTGTGCACGAGAGGCAGATTTAGAACTTGTTCGCGTTACGCTTAAAATAATTCACCCTTTGCAGTTGTGACTCTTCCAGCTCACAGTGGAACTTAAGTTTTCTTACCCTGGACTCGGCTGCAATGCCAAACACAGATTACAAATTTGAAGTTAAATAATCTGAAAGACCTCCAATGCAGGACCGTAGTCCCTCCACTGTAACCTCTAAATTAATAAATGTTCTTGTGCTGTTCATAAAACCCATTAAATAATGGAGAAGAACTTTTCCCCTAATATGTAATAAGTATAAGAGTTCAGGTATGTCCATGCATTATAGTCAGTGTAGCGTGTCTTACCTCAGTGCTGTTTCCTGCTCAGTGCCTGGGAAAGCTCTAGTCCTGTACTGGAGATGTCTGCTGGAGCTGCATCTCTTCCTGGTCATGGTCCAGCAGAACTGCAGCCCAATCTGCTATGCTTGCACGTTCAGTCTGGCTTAATCTCAATCAACTGTGGAAATGCAATGCAGCTTCTGGCACTGCTTCACAGGAATAATCAGATAATTACTTTAACACTGAGCCAAAGAGGAGCCTGCTGATCAGGACACATGCTGTGGAGGATGAAACTTTGAAAGCAGTCTGTAGCACTTTCTGTCATGATATATTACATGAATATATCAGAGCCCCATCAGTGCTGTTCATCCTGCATTGCAGCAATGGTCATAGTGGGTAACTGAAATAGTTTAAGCACTTTTTGCCCTGTAGAAATCAGCTGATCTTTAGTGAGCCCTTTGGATAAATATTTAGACCTTCGTACATTTCCGGGTGCGGGAGTGGTAGCACCCTCAGTGGTAGCACCACTGAGGGAACAATGGGTACTCATGGCCGTTGATCAGTGGTTGTTGATCAATGGTCATGAGAATTTGAATAATTATGATGAAGAAACTGACCTCCCAGCCCATTGTTCATTCAGTGGGCTAGTTTCAGTCATTGTGCAAATGTACGGTTTATAATTTTGGGGAAACCTGCAGTCAGCTGAGACTGAAGACGTCACTTGGATGAGTGACAAAACGTTTCTCCCGTTGAAAACGCTGCATCCAGATGAACAGAATCAACTTTTGGAGATTTACTTTCCTGGATGATTGAGCATGCATCAAGACATCTGAAATAAAGCTGATCCATCTCTGTCCTCACACACTCGGGATCTGAAGTTCTACTTTTACATTTTTCAGTTCTACAGTTCTGCTGACATATGAGCTGTTTCTTTGTGAACATACCTCATTAACAATTATTCAGACAGTGTTTTTAAGCTGAATATTTGCAACAAACTCAGTAAACACCCCCCGCCCACAGTCAGTACTAAAAAATGAATCAGTGGAAAAATTAAACACACATGCTTACTTACGCTGCCAAGTAGGAGTAGTTGGTTTCAGTACATAAATATTGGGCTTTGGTATTTAATCTGTAGTTATTGGTGTGACTATGGTGTGATTATTAATCACTGTATTCAAAAGTGAGTAGAGGGACAGGGTGGCTTGCTTGGCTCCTTTGGGTGGCACTGTCACTTGGTGTTAACTCGCTCTGCGGTAGAGTACCACTTATGAGTGGGCGTAGGGAGGTTTGAGGTCTTCACTCACCCCGGTTCTGTTAGCCGTCAGGGCTGGGGGGCTGGGAGGAGGTGCTGGCC